GTCTGTTTCCCATACTCTTATGGCTCAGAACAGGGAAGGGACAGCATGCAGCACCCCACTTTCTAGTATAGTGCTCCAGCTCTCAGTAGCCCAGTGCCCCCTAGTTTCCTGTCTTTTACACTGAACCTCTGGATTCTTCTGGGGAGAGGAAGGGGAGTTGCCTGGCTGAGTGAGGGGGTTCAGAAATCTAATTGCTTCTTTCTGCAGGTTTCAGTGAGTTCTGCTATTTTAAGTTCCATGTGCAGCCCCACATTCAAAGCTAGCTTGTTACCTCCAATTCCAGGGACTTTATGTAGTTCTGTGGAATGGATTAGTCTGTATTTAGTTTTCCCTCACTGCTGGCTCTTTTAAAAAAGTTTTACTTATTTTTAAATTATTCTTGTGTCTGGTAAGTAATTTGCTGCTTGTCCAGTGGTTGTTCAGTTTTAATTTTTACAAAACTATTGTCTAATCTGTGATTCTCAATCCTTATGGGTTTTTATCTTTTTTTTTTTTTAAAGATTTTATTTATTTACTTGAAAGAGAGAGAGAGAAAGAGAATGAGCAGGGTGGAGGGGCAGAGGGAGAGGGAGTAGCAGACCCCCACCCCCTCTGAGCAGGGAGCCCGATGTCTTGGGGGCAATCCCAAGAGCCCCGGATCATGACCTGAGCCAAAGGCAGATGCTTAACCATCTGAGCCACCCAGGCACTCCTGGGTTTTTATCTTTTTAAACCTCTTTCCATCATTTTAGTGGACAATCAATAAGGAACAATGTAAAAGTTATAATTTTTTATTTAAACAAGATGCAAGGGGAACTTCTTTACAAAACTATCTACACTGTACATGTATATCAAGCTCAAATTGTCTGTATTAGAATACAATGAACTCAAAATAGGATTTTGTTTTTTTCCAGATTGAATTTAGAAAGTTAGAAAGTTATTTTTTTAGATGAGCATATGATGACAGTGCGGGGGAAAAGCACAATGCCAGCAGTCTATAGCACAATTACTAGAAGTGGGTTAGGAGTGGGTTTTCATCTGCCTCTCATCAAAGCCAGCTTTTGTATTCTTCCCTAGCACAGTAAAAGAAAGAGGTCATTCGTTACATTTGTTTAACGTTCTATCCATTTAACAAGCTCTTGTTATCATAGAGGACTTGAGGCACACAAGCAAAGTGCAACGAGGTTTGGAAAAGTTCAGTTTTTCCTCTATGTCATCAACAACAAACTTATTCAAATTCCGATCTAGATAATTTTTCATGCTATTTTAAATATATTAGCTATTTCAATATTTTAGATATTGGGTTTGCCAAATACTGATTTTTTTTACAGATGTCTGTGATAATGATACTTATGTTTCTGGTGGCATGGTCCCCTTATTCCATCGTGTGCTTATGGGCTTCTTTTGGTGACCCAAAGAAGATTCCTCCCTCAATGGCCATCATAGCTCCGCTATTTGCAAAATCTTCTACATTCTACAATCCCTGTATTTACGTGGTTGCTAACAGAAAGTAAGTAATGTTTAAAATGCTTTTAAATAAAAAACATGGATATAGAAAGGATGTTAAAAAGATTTTTGGGGAGGTAAGCGACAGAAACTCACTTCAAACTAGTGTAAAAATTATTTGGCCCATGCAGCTGGAGAGGCATCTAGGCCTTTAAATGCCTAGAGCTCCAGCTCTGGGACAGCCTCTTCCCATATAGAGGGGAGATGATTACGGCAACCCAAGACCCAAGTTCTACCAGCTAAGCACCCCCAAATTCGAGTGTCATCTCAGATGGCTTTCTGGCAGAAAAGCTACTAGAAGGTGGTTGGTGGGCTCAGCTTAGTTCTCATGGCTACCCCCCTCCCCAACACATGGAACTGATTTTCCAAAGAAAAGAGTGGTTCTATTATGAGAAAATGGACAAGGTGAGGAAGGCAATGTTGGGCTCCATAAGTGGGTGGTGTAATTGTATATTTACTAGAAAGAAGATATTCAGGGCGTCTGGGTGGCTCAGATGGTTAAGCGTCTGCCTTCGGCTCAGGTCATGATCCCAGGGTCCTGGGATCAAGTCCCACATCGGGCTCCCTGCTCAGCGGGGAGCCTGCTTCTCCCTCTGCCTCTCTCTCTCTCTGTCTCTTATGAATAAATAAAATCTTTAAAAAAAAAAAAGAAAGAAGATATTCAAATGCAAGAGAAAAACTCAGTGCTAAAATAAAATGGTTTCAGGAGTGGGTAGTCATTCAGGACAATAAAGAATACTTCCTTCTCCCTTTGTTGGAACTCAGCAAAGATTTCTGTCTCCTCAATGAAGCCTAGATTATTTTACTTCCTGTTACTGCTAAAAGATGGAATAACCAATTTATTGTCCTTAAATATTTGATCAAAAAAAAATCTCAGTAGAGGCCAGGTAATTTGATCCTGAAATGCAAACGTTTGTATTTATGCACATGTTTGGGAGAGCAGTTTTAGCTACAGGTATACAAAGAAACATAAAAAATTTAAGACCAAACAGATCACATAAGAAGAATAAAGAACATATTTTAAATTCAGATTCTATTGGTAGTTCTTTTGGAAAGGTTAGTCATTCTCAAGCTCCCTTTAATTTCAACTGGCCTTTGTTCAGAAGAACAAATGTGTGAAATGCATATCCTTAGTTCAAGTAAATTGTAACTGACATTTGAAGTGTCATCTTAAACAGACATAATTTTTGATTTTTATTAAATGTCTTCAATGTTTATAATCAATGGTGCAAAACTGGTCTTTAACTATAACTATACCTTCTATATTTATGAATGTTCTTAACAGGGGATGTTAAAGTTGGAGGCAAAAGTTTATTTGGAGATGTCAGTTAGCAGTAGAGGTGTCTTAGACATATTCGAAAATGCTTTAAGAGTTCCAAGTCGTTATAGGATAATGCCAGATTTCCCCTTTCTTACTGCAGATTTCGGAAGGCAATGTTTGCCATGTTCAAATGTCAGACTCACCAAGCAATGCCCGTGACGAGTGTTTTACCAATGGATGTATCTCAAAATCCACTGACTCCTGGAAGAAACTGAAATAAGAGAAAAAGTACACAGCATCAAAATATCTTATTTACTTTTTTCCCCAGTGGTTTAGTTTTATTTTAAATATGATCCTGTTTAGACCAGATGCAGACATAGATTATTGTTTTATTAGACCCTGAATTCCTCAAGTGTAGCTCCGGGTTCTTCTGTTTGTGGGATGGCTATTCTAATGATTGCTTATTTCCTTCATGTAAACTTAACTATTCATCTCCTTTGATGAATCTAGGCACATGAGATTAAGGCCCATTCTCTTTCTCCCAATCATGGCATTCATTACACTGCATCAATGACCTCGTAACTTGCCTGGACTCTCCATTAGACTAGAAGTAGCCACTATTTTAATGTTAAAATAAATTAATAATGATAATAATAGTCTTCAATAAGTAAATTACTGAAATGAGTTGTTCCTAGGCAGATGGAAAACATTTTTAGCATTTCACACTTTTAAAATTGTAATACAATTATTAACTTCTGCTATTTGACAAAAATATTAAACACTGTTGCTTCTAAATCACATTAGTTGATGCACATACTTTATATAGCAATATAATCTCTGTGCATATCTTATGTATTCTGCATTTTTAATTAACATTTTTCTGTATATGTATTTCCATGTATTTGCCACTAGAATTAATTTAATCAATTTTTTTGTATATTTGTTCTCTTTTTCCTGTTTTGTTTGTCTGAAATTCGTTTTATTCTGGCAAGAACGCAACATGTATCTATCCTCTTAACCAGTTTTTAAGTGTACAGTACAGTATTGGTAACTACGTGTACAGCAGATCTGTAGAACATATTGTCTTGCTTAACTGAAACTTTATGTCCATTGATAGCTGTATGCTTGTTCTTTGATGTATCCTTAGCAGATAGATGCATTTTGCCTGGCACATAGTAGGCACTCAATAAAAAAAAATTGTTGAATGTTGAATGCATTTGTAGACTCAATTATTTGTTGTTTTACATAACCATTGTTTAAATAGTGGACATTTAAAATCTGTGCTATTTTTTTTTAATTGAGCAAATTTTTCTGACTTTATTGTTTCTATATGCATCCTATCAATTTTAAATAACATTTCCCATAATATTCTTATTTTTATAGAATTGACTTTCTTTTGAAAAGATTTTTGGTTTAAATTGTTGATAGAACCACCCAATATAATAACAAGATTAAATTATATATATATGTGTGTGTGTGTGTGTGTGTGTGTGTGTGTTATTGGGCAGGGCCATTCAGGAGGTACCTGATGTGCCCAGATATGTGTGTGTGTGTGTGTGTGTGTGCGTGTGTGTGTAAAACCTAAATCCTTGATTGTCAATTATCCATGAGGATTTTCCATCTTATGTACATGGAGGTAGTTTTTAATGATTGAATTTAATTTTTATTTTCTGATAGAGCCTAATTTTGCTAAAAGACATGACGGTTGATTTTCAGATATGGCTTGATGCCTGTATTGAGAAACTAGTTGAGAATAAAATATATTCTTGAAGATAGATCATGGCCTTCATTACAAACTGCTGGGATAAGCCTTACACTGCTCTGAAGTGACCTGGGAGAGCCAGAGTCTTAGTCCTGCCACTTAGTGGTGGATTGAAGCATTTTGTCTAAAAAATCTAGGTACTAGATTTTTTTACTTTGTTTTTGGAGATCATAAATGCAAAAAATAAAATTTATAATGTTATAAATAATCTGCAGTATTTTCTAGCATCTGCTAAAAGATTGAATTATTTTTAACATTAAGTGTATCTTCAAGACATAGTAGCAATTACATCCACAGAAAAAGGACTTATTTTCTTGCAAATTTGGATATGGGCACCTATTGAAATTTTCTTGACATGTGCTTCATTTTCATTTTCCTTAGAATGTGTTACTTTGCTGAAACCATATTCAAAGGCTAGGTCGATTGATCCCCTGTAAAATACACTTGAAGGTTAAGTAACTACAGATCTCAGCTAATCCCATGTAATCTGCTGTTACTAAATGGCTGTTTGTATTCCTGGCACACCAGTTTCTGAAGTTTAGGATTTGGTTTTTACTTTTTGTTCAAATAACCTCTAGAAAGAGTGATGTGTCTCTCAGCATGTCTGTGCATTGTGCTTATTAGCTTTTTGGAGGGAGTGAGCTGTTTATGTCCTTCACAGTGCACCTGCGATTATCATGGCAGAAATGACGGCACGGGATCAAGGTATGCTCCTCTCTTTGCTACTAAGTGTTCTAATGATTCTAAGGAAAAGAACTCCACCTAGACAGCCTTGTTTTGAAAGCAAATTGTTGGCCAGATATCGGAGGAGAGAAGGTTTAATTTACATAGCTTTAACTCCATTGTTTTAATACCGGTTGCCCACTCCATTGTTTTCATTTTGAGCAGCTTAGCTTTTAAAAGCCCCTCAAATTATTTGAGATTCTCAAACACACTCTGTATTACAAAAATATCCATTGCACTCATATTCACAACATGTCCCTTTCAGGAGGTCAAAACCACTGAAATGAGTGTGGCCAGCTTAGCTTGTTTATAGAAAGAAAGCCCAGGAGGGGAGGGCAGGTCAGGAGGTACTTGACGTGCCCAGATGATTTGCTTCCCTGGTTTTCCATTTCATTTTGAGGGTTATTCATGCCAACTAGATAGATTTTAAAAAGCAGGAAGGAAGATCACAAGGGTGAAATTAGAGAGGTTCATAATTAAGATTTTTCATTTTAAAGTTTTGGAGTTTACAAAGAAAAGTTTGAAAGATGCGGATCAATTCTGTCTGTTGCAGATACTGGGGGGCCTCACAGAAGTTAGTCAACCTCTGGGTTGCTTTAACATCTACCTGTGAATTGAGAATAATTAATACTTATATATATGTGAGTCCTTTGAGATAGAAGTTAAATGCAAAACAGGACTTTTGTTAGCTAAACATGGTAGAACTTGATTTTTTTTTTTTTGGAGAGGATATTTATTTGAGAGGAGAGAGAGCGCGAGAGAGAGCATGGGGTGGGTGGGGGGAGGGCCGGGTGGGGAGAGGGAGAAGCAGGCGCCCCGCTGAGCAGGGAGCCCAATGTGGGACTCAATCCCAGGACCCTGAGATCATGACCGAAGCCCAAGGCAGATGCTTAAGGACTGAGCCACCCAGGTGCCCCTGGAAGAGTGTATTTAATAACAAAATAAGATTATTTTGTGACTTGGCTGAAGTGAACAGTGAGCCTCTTACAGAAAATAATTTGTTGAAAGAATCGCCCAATTTATGTCTTACAACTTTAAACGAGTAAATAATAACACTTAAAACATATTTTTGAGTAATTTGTCTAGTTATTGTATGAACTTAACCAACTCATGGTATCTTTTTGAGATATTCACTAGGTGGTTTGAGACAAAGAGAACAATGTAACAAATTAAAGACCTACTTGGCAAAAGATATGAAGCAGTTAATGACTCAGGGCAGGGTACTTTTGAGAAAAGTCACAGAAATGTTTCTTGGTGATGGCCCCATTATTGATGGATTTTATAAAAACCGTAGTGTATTAGGACTAGCAAGGACTCTAGAAATAATCTAGTTCGACTGCTGTCATTTTATAGACAAACACAACCATACAGACATTAAATGACTTGTCCAAGGTCACAGCACTGAACTGATGCAGGGACTAGTTGATAAGACCTTTCAGCTTCCTATGTAGGCTTTCTTCCATCACACTGGAATGCTGACCTAATGAGTAGAAACCAGATCATTCCTGTATAAAGTAGCAATGGAATTTGTAATACAGAATAGAGATGAAGAATAAGAGGTGTTCCCAGAGAATTTCAATGATTCCATAGAGCCATCTCCTAAAGTTACAGAAAGGAGATGACCCTATCGTCAGTACACCCCAGCTTTATGCTATCTACCTCTCTTCACATTATACGCTGACTTTTGAAATTCACTGATCTAATGTCATGTGTTTTTACCGAACGGCTGTTTCATTGTTACTATGTACAAGTATAATGTATTTGTGCATCTAATGTATTTATACATTATACAATTTAGGCTATGCTTTGCAAAATTTTTATTGTCTGTTTTCAGCAATCCAGTGGGGGTGAGTATATAATGATAAATAGGTCTTTTTTCAGGCTAAAATGAATCTAAATTCTCTGATTCTTCATCCTTCACACCCACACATGGGACAGGCTTGTTTTTCTATGCCTGTTTTACACGTGCCACTAAACAAGATCACGATGTGACTTATTCAAGGTCACTTCAGTTAGTGAGTGGTAAAAGGAATAAACTCGCAGTTTCTGGTTTATTCCTTAGGCTGAGAGCAATGCGCCAGTCACATTATTAAAATAGAGTTCAACTTTAAGCATCTAGTGTGAACACTTCCTTTTTCTTTCTCCTTCCTCCCTCCCTCCCTTTTTAAAATTAAATTACCTTCTTAAAGAGGATCAGTTTATAACTTCAACAGGGGATTTTTTTTAAAAAAATAGGCCATTTCCTAAAGAGGTTAGGAGTGTGTATTTTGGAGTTGGACAGATGTGGGTTTGAAAGGCAGCTGTGTAACCCATTAGCTATGTGACCTTGGGCAGGTACCTTGTGTTGGTGGGCCTCAATTATTTTCTCTGTAAAAATGAGATTGATGATAAAAATAGCAAATAGCCATTAAGTGCCTATCATGTGCCAGGAAGGTATAAAACTTTATATCCATTTCAATTAATCATCCTAACAGTGCTATATGGGAAACTGAAGTTGAGGGACTGGTGAAGTGGCTTTTCATGGCCACAGAGAAGTGGCAGAGCTTAGATCTGAACCAAGATCAGCCTGACTCCAGAGCCCGTGCCTTTACCTATTACCCAATATCTACCTTATAGGGCTGTTGATGATCAAATAAGCCAGATGTGGTATGCTACATAGGCCTGACACATAAAGAACTCCATCTGTATTAGGTTGAACCACCTGAAATTGCTTATATTTGATCATTTTTAACCTACAAAAATGACCATTTCATACGGTTCAATCTAGAAGAAGATGATGATGAATTATGAATAGGTCAGTCAGGCTGAACGAATATTTTGTGAAACCAGTAGGAAATGAAAAAGTGATGCATGTTTCAGGTATTATTTTTTCACATGGGTCTTGGAAAGCAAGTTTCCTTCCGTTGGTCTTGTGACACTAGGTCGGTGCTATGCAATGACCTGGATATGAACGAGGTCCCTACGAACCTACCTGTGGACACTGTGAAGCTACGTCTAGAGAAGACTGTCATCCGCAGGATCCCTGCACAGGCCTTCTACTACCTGGTGGAGCTCCAGTACCTCTGGGTGACTTACAATTCCGTGGCCAGTCTTGATGTCAGCAGCTTTTACAACCTAAAGCAGCTGCGTGAGTTGCGCTTGGATGGAAATTCTCTGGCTGCTTTCCCTTGGGCATCTCTGCTGGACATGCCCCATCTGAGGACCCTGGATTTGCACAACAACAGAATAGCCAGTGTGCCAAATGAGGTGGTCAGGTACCTGAAGAACCTTGCCTACTTGGATTTATCAAGCAACAGACTAACCACACTACCACCAGATTTCCTGGAGAGCTGGTCCCACTTACTTACAACATCATCACGAAGCCTGGACCTTACACCACGAAGAATTATTCTTGGTAAGTTCAGAAGCCTCTGGGCTTCTCGGGTCCAGATAATTTGTTTTGCATGCCTTCAGTTGTCCAGTCTTTTCATATGTATTGAATTTGGCTCCTTGCTCTCTACTTGCACTTTTGTTGGGATGGCACTTTCTTTGCTTGACCTAGGTCAGCTGACCTGTTTACCCTGTGTAAGGTGTAATGGCTGTGTGTGTTGCTGGAGGAGGGAGAGGAGAGCGCCTCATAGACTGAGAGGCTAATGCTGCTGTTAGCGAGCCTGGGGCTGAGTGATAAAATCTACCAACCTGCCCTGATTCTGAGAGCACATCAGTGCTCCACGCTCTGCCACAGTCAACCTGCTCTGTTCTCTGTTCAGCCCTTCAGCAGGCTCTTCAGGAGTGGAAGAGGGGCACTGGCATCTTTATGAGGTGGCAGCGGATTTATTAGTTAGGGAGAATAGCTTCCAGATTTTCTTAATCTAAAAAGAAATGATGAAGACAATCTTCTAATGGATTAGTGTAGCTGTGATTTGTTTTGTAGACTTTGATCTTGACTTTGTTTAGGTTCTGTGGGTATTTGTCTTTGGTTCTTTTTTTTTTTTTAAAGATTTTATTTATTTATTTGAGACAGAGAGAATGAGAGACAGAGAGCATGAGAGGGAGGAGGGTCAGAGGGAGAAGCAGACTCCCTGCCGAGCAGGGAGCCCGATGCGGGACTCGATCCAGGGACTCCAGGATCATGACCTGAGCCGAAGGCAGTTGCTTAACCAACTGAGCCACCCAGGCGCCCTGTCTTTGGTTCTTAAAGTATAAACTCCTTCCACTAAGTCTCTCTCTTCCTTTTTTTGTATCTTCCCGCAGTGCTTTGCATGGCACTCTGCACATGGCGAATGCCCAGTAAATATGGTTGCAGATTGAAATCAATGAGCTGAGACCCTTCTCAGGGGTACCTGTGGGCAGTGAGGCCTCCCATACTTTTGTGTGAGACATAAGCCTAAGGCTCTCATCAATCAATTCGATCTCCTACTAAATTCTTGTTCACCCAATAAGGCTGTGTTGTCAGTTCACTTGTGATGTCCATCAGGGCCACAGAAGAGGTTGTATTTCACAGGATGAAAAGAACTGAGTGTTTGGCCAGTGAAATGATTTTTAAGCCTTTTGGTGTGAGAAGCAACTCGATGCTAAATTTGTGCCAGGAATCCCTACTGACCAATATCACATGCTCAAATATTTGCTGAAGTGAAGTACAAATAAATAAAGATAAATTGAATTTTTTTTTTGATAAAAAGGAAAATGCTGTGACAGCACTTAAATGATTTTAGCATTGCTTTGGTTGAAATGTAAATGCATTTTGGTGCTTATGAGACTAAAAGTATGGGTGATTAGAACCAAATAGAAAGAGGAAAAATCATGTATTTATTCTATACCTATTTTATGTTTGCCTACTGCTTATCTAGTGCTTCAAACATTTTTATTAGAGAATAAAAGAAGTATTGTAGGGTGAGTGGAAAAAACATTAATTTAACGATAGTTGTGGAGTCCTTCTTATTATGTATACCATAATAGGCACCATGTAAACCTATACGATAGTATTTATTTACTCTATTTTAGCCACTAATTTAGTCCTTAGGACTAATAGCTGGAAATTGTCTTAATGTAAATATTGAGATTCTGTTTCTCTACACATTTTTCTAAGTTTCTTTAGATTTACCAAGAGGAGATATATAGTAGAAAATAAAATCAAATTACCGAATTGCTAATCTGAGATGGGAGTGTCTTATAAAGAAAGACTCCTCTATTTTAGCTTTTTCTGTTATTTTACCTATATCTGAGTCTTCCAATTTCATCATTAAAATATGGTGATGAAAACCAGTACTAGCTTTTCTAGAATTCAGTGTTTAACTGTAGCAATTATATCTTTCCAGGTGCCCTGGAGAATTTACTTTTCTATTATTATAGTGGAATATAGTCTGTTTTATTTGTTAGTGTCTTGTGTTTATTACTGTTAGCAGATGGAAGTTCTGTTTGTAACAATAGTAATAGCTAATATTAATGGAGCTCAGGGCCAAACCCAGTTCTTATACTTTATAGATTTAACTTTTTCCGGTCTCATGTTAACCCTGTGGTAAGTACCATTTCATCCCCATTTTATAGAAGAAGAATTGAGATACACGTTAAGCCACGTGTCCAAATGTACCCATCACACAGTGATGCAGCTGGGGTATGAATACAGGTGGTTTGGCTCCACAGCTCTTGCTGTTCCCCATTCCTTTGTCATGCAAGGTATTGTATGTAATAATACCAGAGTTCTCTTCTTCATATATGCATTACTGATCTCTTTAAGTCATGTCTTTATTTAAAAAAAAAAATTAGGGGCGCCTGGGTGGCTCAGTTGGTTAAGCGACTGCCTTCGGCTCAGGTCATGATCCTGGAGTCCCTGGATCGAGTCCCGCATCGGGCTCCCTGCTCGGCAGGGAGTCTGCTTCTCCCTCTGACCCTACCCCCTCTCATGTGCTTGCTCTCTCTCAAATAAATAAATAAAATCTTTAAAAAAAAAAAAATTAGGAAGAGGGTTTTCCATTACTCCTCTTTTCTACATGAGTAAAAATATCAACTTAATAAAATTGTCCTCTAATGTATCATATAAACATAAACTAGTGTCCTGCAAGTAAACATTTAAATGAACTGTGAAACTAGACTGGATTTTTTATTTGCAATACAGGTAAATTTCCATGGCCTCTTCCTCAGGGATACACAAATATTTACACAGGCAGACTCTGTAAGGCCCAATACTCTTTGTCTTGGAAAAAGCATGCAGGAGGAGAGGGCATAAAATGGTTTTTGGGGGGCTTTTTACTGGTACTTGAATTTGCTCAATTGCAAACATGAGTTCTTTTCCTGTTCAGAATAAAGTTTACCTGAAGGGCAGTAGCCACACGAGTATTCCCACAAAATTTTTCTAAAATGGCATTCATTTAATTCAAAAACACTCCTCAATCCCTGTTGATATGCCTGTTCTTTTTGAGGCACAGAGGAGATAAATCCACATAGTTAACTCCTTGCCAGGTGCTCTTTTGGGGACTCCCTGGCAGTATCTCAGCCTTCAGGACAATGCCGTAAATTGGGTCTGTGATTATTACCTGCTTTGTACAGCTGGTGAAGATGCAGAGTCAAGCTTCAAGTTCAGTCCATCTCCAGAGATATCATTCTTTTGTTTTTAAAGCCTTTTCTAAATTGACGAGTTGAGGTATAATTTGCACACGTGGATCTTAAGTGTACAGCTTAGTAAATGATGATAAATGAAATACCCCCACGAAACCCACACCCTCATTAAGATATGGAATAATTTCATCACACTGGGAAGTTCCCCTGCTCCTCTTCTCAATCAATGTCCTCCATTTCAAGCAACCACTGTTTTTATTTCATTGCAATAGGTTAATTTTGTCTGCCCTAGAATTTTACGTAAATGGAATCATGTAAGACGGCCCTTGTGCCTGGCTTCTTTCATTTAGCATTATTGTTTTTGAGATTCATCCACGTCACTGCATGTATGGGTAGTTCCTTCTGCTGAATCATTTTCAGTTTTATGAATATATGAATTGTTCATCCTTTCTTCTGTTTTTGGACACATGGGCTGTTACCAGTCTTTAGCTATTATGAATTAAGCTGCTATTAACATTCTTGTGCAAAGCTTTTTGTAGCACATATTTTCATTTCTCTTGGATAAATTCCTAGTCTTCAAATTGCTAGGTCACAGGATGGCTATAAATCTTTTTAAGAAACTGCCAATTTTCCAAAGATGTTGAACCATTGTACACTCCCACTAGTACTGTACAACAGTCTACTTGCTCCGTATCCTTACCAACACTTGATGTTGTCAGATTTTTCTCATTTCAGCCTTTCCTGGGGGTGATGGGTCAGGGAGTGATTTGACATTGTGATTTTAATTTGCATTTCCCTGAAGACTAATGGTGTTGACCATGCTTTCATTGGCTTATTGGTCATTGCTATATTCCTTTATGCCAATATATAACTAAAAAAAAATTTTTTTTATTATTAAATACAAGCCTTTTGTTAGTTACATGTGTTATTGATATTTTCTCCAAATCTGTGATTTATTCATTTTCTTCATGGTGTCTTTGGAAAGAAAGTTTTAAATTTTATTTTATTTTTAATCTTTTTTTTTTTTTAAATTGACAGAGAGAGACACAGTGAGAGAGAGAACACAAGCAGGGGGAGTGGGAGAGGGAGAAGCAGGCCCCCCGCTGAACAGGGAGCCCGATGCGGGACTCAATATCAGGACCCTGGGATCATGACCTGAGCTGAAGGCAGACACTTAACGACTGAGCCACCCAGGTGCCCTGAAAGTTTTAAATTTTAATGACATCTGATTTATCAGTTCTTTCTTTTATAGTTAGTGCTTTGTGTGTCTCATCTAAGAAATATCTGCCTGCCTACAAGTCAGAGATTCTATTTTCCTTATAGTTTTAACTTATATATTCAATTTCTGGCTTTAATATTCTTAACTTTTATGCTTATGACTGTGGTCCATCTCAAAACAGTTTTTGAGTACAGTGTGAGGTAGGGGTTGAGGTTTTTTCCATGCAGATGTCCAGTTGTTCCCCCACCATTTGTCGAAAAGACCTTACTTTCCCCCGATTTGTTAAATGCCACTGCCACCACAAAACTGACTAAGGCATGGTTTTTGCTTTCAAGAGCTTATAGTCTGCAGAATTACTTTTGAACAGAAATTTATTGCTGACTTTTCACCAAAAAATAGCACATTTAATTCAACTACTGTGATGCATGGAAAACATTATCCTTTTAGAAAAGGAATAAAGCAAAGTTGATTTGCCCCTCTCCAAGAATAGTTAGATGAGCTAAATTTTAGTGCAAATTACTGTGATTGTGGTTGGTATGTTGCCTTGAAGGAATGCAGTACAAATAACAGTTTAACTTCAGGGAGTTTTTGTACCTCTGTCCCCAAAAGGAAAACAAAACAAAACAAAACACTTGATGAATGGGTTCAACACTCAGGTCACTATTATTATTCGGGTTTTAAAAGTTGTGCCTTTGACCTTGATATTTCTTCTTTTTTTTAGATTTTATTTATTTTTTTGACAGAGAGAGATATAGCGAGAGCAGGAACACAAGCAGGGGGAGCGGGACAGGGAGAAGCAGGCT